TGGTGTGCTGCTGCTGCTCCGCATTGCTCCTGTTGCCGTTGCCCCGTGTGCGCAAAAAGATATACAAAGGAAAACTGTCGGGAGTCTGACACACAAGAAGCGAACATTTTTATCCTAGCGTTCGCCTATATGTATAATGCCGGGCGCGCGCGTATATGCATGTATTTGTAGATATGTACATTATGCAACGATAAGTGATATGCGCTCAAAAATGTCGACGAGCTTTCCCTATATGTATAATATATAAATATGATATACATGTATCGCGCTGCGCATTTCAAATTGACGGAATCTCTAGAATTTTTTTCTTTCTCCGAGAGCTCGCGCAGCACAGCTAGTAGTAACGCGGCAAAATTGAAGTTACATCAATCTTTATTTGTGAATGTGTGTCGGTGTGTGCTGCGTGTGCGTGTTGAGTATGACCGCTTGCCGGCCTGGACCGGAATCACTCTTGCTCTGTCAGAGAGAAGAGAGAGAGAGAGGCCCTCGCGGGAGAGGGAAAACTGATACAGAACCTAAAAAAACACACACATACACGGACGCACACTGTGCTCGGCTTGTGCTTTGGTCGCCGTAGTATATCTGTATAGATAGGCGTACGATAGGTATATATATCGTGCTACACGTAGTATATAGCTCTCGGCAACCATCTCGTCCTGATTAAAGTGCATTTTTCACTCTTGATAAAGGCTCGGACAGAGCCAGCCAGCGCGCGAGAGAGAGACTCTTTTTTAGCGCAGCTCTGCACGCCGTCTAGCTCTCTAATTCCCCGTTGCAATTCGTTTATAGCGTGTCCGCGTATACGTATATTTTTTATATGCACCTGCTGCTGCTGCTGCTACTCTCTGGCCGAAGTGTGCATATACGAGCTGCTTTCTGTATCTGTTTTATCACGTATATAATGTACGCACGACTGCAAGTCTGCCTAATTTCCGACAAAAACAAAATAACGAAAAAAAGAAAAACGAGAGATAGAGAGAGAGAAGCGAGCGTAAATGGAAAAAGAAAAAGTTCGCATTTCCACCCTCCCTCTTCTCCTCCCACGTACAATCGTTCAACATTGATTAAAAATGACGCGCTTGTATACATTACACATACACACGTACGTAATACGGCGGGGGAGGGCAAGCCTAGCTCCGCTGCAGTTCGCAGAGCGCTTTGGTTTATGTGCTCCCGCGCACTGTATTTACATACATGTGACGTGTACGTATGTATGTTCACGGTACACGTCTATCTCTGCATATTTACATAAGTCATATCAATCGAAATCGCTTACAACGCGCGCTCGTGCGCGCCTACGCACGTATGCAGCCGACGTGCAGCGCCCATTAGGCAAATTATTGAAATGTACGCACGCGTTCTCATATATATCCTACCCGTATATACGCACATATAATGCTAAACGTCGGAAGCGGTCTCAAATTTAATAAGCTTAAGTAAGGTATTCGCGGCGCGCGTTCTTATTCGCGCTTAATACATATAAGACACGATGATAGCTGGGAAATTCGTATTCTCGCGATGGGATTGAGAATTTCACGCTCGCGCGTTTCGCGATTGAGGAATAAAGAAAAAACCGATGAGCCATTGATCGTTAAAGATCTTACGGATTTGAACGCATGAGAGGTTACATTGTGTGTGTTTGAAAGTAAGTGTTATTGTCGAGTTATAGTGGAGCTTATTATATAGACTCGTCGACGTCGATTGTGATCTGTTTGCGAATAAACTCGAAGGCCAGGAGATAAAAGTCAACAAAGAATTATTTTCTAAGTAAAGAATCGTAAAGGCAGCAGATTTCAAAACAATCTTACGCGTAACTTCTCTCATAGTATCTATCGAAATTTTCCGTGATTCAATAAGCTAAACACACATTAGTTTCTGCATTCTACCTATATCAAAGCCAACCTAAAAATGCAAGCTTTTCAAAATGATAACAAGAATCTAGAAAATAACAAAATAAACATATTAAACACAGCTTTATAGTACGGGGTCAACGTACCAGGGAAAGAAGGGACGAGTAGACCCAACATTTATTTATTTATTTAATTTACCCTGTATAATTTGGAAAAGAAACCAAAATTATTTCGATACTTTGACCGTACGAATCAAATCTCGGTTTATACATCAAACATCGTCAATTAATTGAATGGAGATCCCGCCTCCTTCTGCTTCGTCTCTCGCAAATATCGTAGGGGCAAATTTTCAATAAGCATTTCAAATTTTAATTAACTTCGTTAGCACGCAGAAGAAGTTTCGCAACTTTTCTCACTCGTCGTCTCCGACTGGTTGGCCAGCGCAGCGCAGCGCTCGAGCTCAGTCCGCAACATTTTCTAGGAAAAGTATTTCGAGATCCCATTTATTAAATTTCTGTAATTTATACTAATCAACTGTATATGCCCATAATGCGCATTAACCGATACATCGATATTGAAAGAGAGATAGGAGTATAGGCGTTATAGAGTTCTGAGCCGCGGCGAAGGCAGAAAACTTTTTTAATATCGATGAGCGCGTTTCGCGCTCCATCTGGCAAATAGCTGCAGAAAAGCTGCGGTGCGCGCTAGCCTCGTATACATCCCAAGCGGTATTTTCGCGAGCCGCGAAGACTAATTATCCTTCTCGTTTTAATTTGGTGATAGCTACGATCATTTTGAAAAGTCCTATAGATAACTGATCAAAATTAGGACTTCCTGATGCTCAACTGGCACCACTATACTACGTGTATTTATTATACGTAGACTGAATTTTTTAGTACAACAAAAAAAATGTTTTTGACCAAAAAGTACTTATTTGCACAGTTGCTAATTCTAACGGTGAGTCATGCCAAACTTATACAGTTATTTTGATTTTATTAATTGCAGATTTACAGTTAAAAGTATTCGCCATCTAGTGGTGGAGACAGTTTTTAATGATGATTGAATTTTTAAAAAGTTTTCCAGCAATCAATGTAAAAAATAAATTAGTATTCAAACATAAATTTTGAATCAAAATTAATTAATTTAATAAATAATGCATATGATTTATTTTTTAATATAATTTATGTAAAAAATAAATCAGTTCTAATGTACTAGGTATGATTGATGTGACTAAATTTAAGTATGAAAATATTAGTTAGTTATTTTTAAAATACTACTAGTATCATTAAAACATAGGGAAGTAATTATGGAAGATTCGAAATTAACTGCAGTTTCAAGATTTTCACCTACCTATACATACGTATATTTACGACTCACGCGCGTTTACTCTTTTTATCTATCTTTCTCTCTCTCTCTCTCTCTCTCTCTCTCTCTCTCTTGCTATATAGCTTTCGCGTCGATGCGATGCGAGCGAGGTGGCATTGATATAGCCTAATCGTGGGTGTCGGGCGGCGCGGGGTCGAAGGGGGGCCGGCTGGGTGAGCTTGCAAGCTCGACGCTCGCTCGCTCGAGAATATACGATGAGGCGCGCATACATATGTACAATTGTGAGCGCGCGTATTTGTACGCAGCAGCCCTCGAGATGCCTATACGTGTACATCATACGCATCTATAGATATATTTACATAGATCGCGTACGCTCTGCGCGGCAGTGTGGTGTGCACACGCACGCCCGAGCACACTACCACTATACCGTGTGTGGCACTGGGATCGAATTATTTATCGGTAACGCGCGCGCGCGGACGAGAGAGAGGAAGAGAGAGCAGAGCTTAAATATAGCAAGTCGAGCTATAGGCCGCAGAATCGAGCGTATATTGTACACGCGCAAGGCAAGCTCGTTTCATATATGATGCTACGTGGAAAAGCACCGGTGCGTTTTCGTTGCCTTGCTGCATGTTGTTGTTGTTGTTGTTGTTGTTGCTGTTCGATGTTTAGAGTATATACATACGCATATACGCAAATACATATATCTATATACGCACGCGTGACTTGTGTATTGGTATTATCGCATTATATACACGCGCCTATCCAACCTGCTCCGTGCGTACATACATATATACGTGCTAAATATAGGTGTATGCGCGGGCATGTCTGCGTGCGTCCATGTGCGCGCGTTCGCTTGATTTATGCCGGCTCGATAGTGCACCGCTAGCTACTACTTTGCCACGCTTTGTTCTATACGCACGAACGCACACAATCCACCCACACACACGCTCACCTACGCATCCACATTTATACGTACGTATACGTATCATACGTACGCCAGACTACGATGTGCGCTTGTATACAATACATATATCCTGCATATATATACGTATACGGAAAACGTTACCAACTACTTGCTTTTCTGCCTCCGAATGCCTTGTGCCGTATTTATGTACGACGTGCACCGGCTATGATTTAGTAATTTCTTTGCACCGTGATAAATAAATTCACCGGTTGCGTATTTCAATCTTTTGCCTTGCAGAAAAAGCATTTTCATATGCGCTGGTCTTAGGTTTTTTTTTATGGGGGAGGAAATGAGAGAAAAATGAAAATTAGTAAACCGTGAGTGATTGAAAACATGAAATTGAAAAAAAAGCGGTGCGTCAAAACAAATTCACGAATTTTCGTAAGTTACAAATGGTCCTGTCAAGATGATACCGCAGCCTCGTTCTTTATCGATCGCACATTGAAACTGTATAGTTGCATAACTATTTTTCTCAGCTGATTTTCCGATATTGTTGCTGTGAATGACTGGATGAAATTTCAACTAATTTTCACCGGTAGTATTCCTTGACAGGCAAATCGTAATATTCATTTTCAGTTTTCCTTATCGAAGATCGGCTTAGAAAAAAAATTATGAAAACATTTTTTTCAGTGCCCGCGCAATGAAACCCTAGCGTACGAGACAATCTTAATAATTTGAATTGAATATTATTTGCTTAAAAAAATTAAAACTATAAATAACAATTTTTTTGTTATAGCTCGAGCTTTCTTAAAACTGGATTTTTTTTTAAAGATTTTGAATTATTTTATTTGACTTTTAGCAATGTTTCCAGTGGAATTAAATAAAAAATTGTTATAAATTAGAATTTTTGAAGAATTGGGTACGAAACAGTTTTGTCTTTATTGCATCATACAATGAATTGAATAATAATCTTCTTTCTACAAAAAAAAAATTTTCATGTACAAAAATAATGTACAAATCATTCTGATAACGTAGTTCAATATTTTAACCACTATGGTTGAATTTTTTTATTGCAAATATATTTTTGCATGCTCCCATGATACGTTCATCTTTCACAATCATGCTTTCTTTTTCTAAAATGTGAGCAAAGCTTATTAATTGAAAACTCAAAAAAACAGTTGATAAGGTGAAAAAAATTTACCTAAATCTTCTTTTCCACAAACAAGCTAATAAAAAAGTAAAACAATCCTATTGCATATAATAGCATGATCTGTAAAGAAAACAGTAATAAACAAATGTATATACAGGTATCAAGCTGAAAAGTGAGATCATGCAGCTTTTAAAATGTGGTTTTACGCCTAAATACCATTAAAAATACTCACAGTGCACCATATAATTGCACCAATTGTACACTTGATTCTTGAAAGTTCGAATTTTTCCTTTTCACTTTCCCTTTCTCTCGCCAGCTCGTCCAATCTTTCGCGTAACCTTCCGACATACCTTGGGTCTAAGCGACTCAAGGCCCTAGAATCTAGCTCAAGATAATTATTTGTCGATGAAAATCTGTCCTGGAGATCACGAAATGACGAATAAGTGTCCGTGCGTCGAAGGGTACTGACATTAAGAATGAGCTGTGGGTCATCTGCTGTATGTTGATCCGTAGCTGAGGTAGGGTGCTTTACCGAGTCGATCGTTGTGTCCACCGTTGCGGATTCACAGCTGTCTGACGTCCGCCTCGACGCGAGCTCGTCGGTCCTGCGCTTCACTTCCACTTTATCGCTCGCAGCATCATTTTCCGTTATAGCTGTCCTTGATTCTAGCGCTCCACGATTCATTAAATCATTCACGTATTGATCTGATTTTTGTATTCTGCGGTAAAAATCGATATCCGAATTATCTGAATAAGGATCTTCGAGGGTCCCGGTTTCGTAATTAAAATAGACACCATTGGGAGACTGAAGCGGCCTCGTCGGATCGAATTCAGGCTCAACGGATCCTGGTGCAATAGAAACACGCGGCTCTCTACCTTGTGCCATTTTTGCGGCGAGAAGACTGAACAAAAATCATGTTATTTCTCAATCGAACGCTGTCAGAGTTAATCGAAACTATAATATAAAACGCGTGGTGGGGATTGTTGACAGTCGTAGTGTACGTTTTAGATCATTTGTAATTAACGATTCTTCAAAGAAATTAAACGTCGAAACTAGGATTCCTACTGACAAATTAAAATACTGCTTCATTTATGAAAAATAACATCATCTTTCTCCTGTTACGAATAATTCCGCTGCAACAATCATAAGTTAGGTAAATTTCAAAATTTTTGACCCTCACAAGGTATTTTTTTGTATGATGAGCTCTATATATCATAATATCAAAATATTTTTCTCGTATAACTGCAATGTTTACAGTTATTTTCGGCTTTTTGTATATTATAAGTAAGTAGTTCGATTAGTTTGTTTACAAGTTCGAAATTTAAACTAAGGTAGTCAACTTTGTATACGTTGTTCTGTCACATGGAAAGGTATTTAAATTCTATGAAAACACAGACCAATAAAATTAAGTTTACAGCTGCGAGAAATTATAACAACAATCGTCATGATTTGACGCTCTCTTACTTTACGAGCGTAGCTTCGCAGTCCAGGCAGTTCGACGAGTTCATCACTGGCGCTCTATCCATCGACCTTTTCAACTTCTGTCTTCGACGTCATCTCGGCACTCCACAGCATTGACCATGGGACCCATTGCTTTCTTCTTGCGTATTTTTTTCTTGTATTTTATGTATCACGTATCTTATTATTTATTCGATAATTACCTTCCTACAATTTTATTTAATTTATTGGTCATGTCATTTTATTTACTTCTCGCTTTCCCTGTTTTTATAGTTTGTGAATACCTACCACCAAGTTATGTAAAGTTTACACAATATTTCCTTATTGTTTTAATAATAATTTATATGATTGTTTATCCGTTTAGAGGAATTCGTCTTCCGTTTTTCATGTAATTTTCCATGTTTTCTTACCGTGTAAAACTGATTGAAATATTGTATCGAAAATGTACGACATATTAGCCATAAGGTAATTACACCTAAACGCAATAAAATTTATAACAATAAACTCTTTATCTTTTTTTTTTGAGCCAATAAATTCATGTTTTCGATACAAAACGTACCATATACTTCACGAATATTCCTCCATACATCTGTCTTAGAAATTTTCTATGAAATATGTAATAAAGCAACGAAGAGTTAATTAATTAAAAATAAATGTATCCTCTCGTACCTGCCAAGAATAAAAGTACTCTCCATCATTCGACCTCACCAAACACGCAATTAAGTACCATACACACAAAGTTCAATTACACAAAGGATTCATTCGCTCTTGTACATCACACTCGCACAGATTTGTTATTGCGGTCGTTTTTAACCCCTTGCCCCTCTTTCTCTCTGTCCGCACTCGAGAAATTGCGTAAGTTTGTGTATTATAATATATTCCAGCTCTGAAGAAGGTTTTCATAATTACATACAGCGCGTGGCAGTAGCAGCAGCAGTGGTAGCAGCAGCAGTAGCGGTGCAGGCAACAGAGAGGATGATGAAGTAAATAGTGCCAAGTCGTCACGTGGATTATTCAAATGTAGGTAGGATGGAGGCGACGCGGCGGTGATGTGACCCATCTCGGCAGTATTTAAGCATTTGATTGAAACTCGAGTAGCAGTGGTAGCGTTGCATATACACTCGCTCAAATGCTGGCACTGCTGCCTCTTCTATACAGTCCGCATGCACCGGTACAGCAGCGGTTTAATTGAAAAAGAGAATTTTCATATTTAAGAAGCGACCGAATGGCAATCTCGATGACGTGTCTCGTCGGCAAACGTATATTACTTGACTCACGCGCTCTCTGTACAGCTGCTTCTTTTTTCCTTTTTTTTTTGCTTCACCTTGCCAGAGAATTCGAAATTTCGATTGATGCCTCGGCGCGATTTATAGACTATTTTTGAAGATTTTTTTCACAGCAATTATACACGTCGCTAGCTTCTGTTTATAAACGCGAAATCCGGACGTTGGCGGGTGGAAAAAAAGGCAACGTGCAAAGTGAGAGGGATCTGGCACAGCGAGAAAAGTGCGTCGCGTTATCGAGAACAAATTTTGATCGATGCGCTCACGTTCTCACGGCGATCGCAGCCGGATTTGATGGATGCGTGCGAGCGTTAGGCAAGATTCCCTCTCCCTCTCCTTCTCACACTCACTCGTTGAAGCATTTTTATTCCCGCAAATCGAATGCAAGCTCTGGCTAAGACTCGCAGGAGACGAGCAACTTCCGCTTGTATGCGAAGAAAAATGTATACCGGTATACATTTTTATTTTCCATCTGTTGCCCTCGCGACCGCACTCGTACAATTTAAAATCAATTTGTAATTTTGACGCGCCGGTTGTGTGTGCTTTTTCCTCCTTTTTTACGGTTCATACGTGTTTTCTCATAAAAGAGCTTGCACTGCACACGCACACCCACACACATACACATATGCGCAGCCAAGGCTCTGCGCGTATTTATAATATATATACTAGACACGCTGTGTATTATACACACACGCGAGATGGTGCGCCTCGAGTCTATCTCTCTTTCAAATATATATCGCTTGTGTAGCACATGCACAGCAGCACAGCGCCGAGCATATTGGAGTCTCTGTCGCATGGAGCGCGCGCTGCGCCGTACCGTACACCATGGCACCGGCAAAACGTTTTACGTATACATATGACACACATACACACTTGCACAGAGGCCGAGAAAGTATAGCGCGTATATACCTTCAGCCTATACGTTGGTACGGGTATAAATGGAGAGAGAGAGAGAGAGAGAGAGAGAGAGAGAGAGAGTATAAGTGCGCAGCGGGAACCAGAAGTTTTACGAGCTTGAGCTATGCGGAACGTGAATAGAACGACTTGGTATAATGCGATGTTACGCCAGTAGCGAAGCTTTTACTTTTCGGTTCCAACGTTCTGGTGGCGGTACGCGTGCCACGCCGTGCACGCTCGATGCTCGGCGCTGTTTTTGTTATCATATTTTTTTCCTTTTTCTCTTTTTTTTTCTTTTCTTTAAATTTTGCAACTTACATGACATTCACGGATATTAGCAAAAGCTTCGCGGCAGAGGCACATTGGAACGCGCCCGGTATCGCATGTGAGACTTTCTTTTGAATTAACTTGTATATACATAGGAAAGCTTATACGTGCGCTATTGCTTTTTTCATATAATACTTTTAAAGCGATGCGAAAGAGTGAGAGAGGGTAGGGAATAGGTAAAGAGAGAAAGAGAGAGAAAGAGAAAAAAACATTTTTTTTTCCTCGACTTTACGGATGATTTATTATGTGTATCGTACGGACCTTTAATACAGCAGTACCAGATGGATTAATAATTCTACCCGACGAACGCAATTATGAAATGCGCACGCGAAACAGGGAGGGAGCTGCTTTTGAAAAAATACAATTTTTTTTCACATTTCGAAAAGCTTATCGATTTTTTTGTGTTCGACGAGTTCAAAGTTGATTGCCGCTTCATGTATGCGCGCATCAAGAGCAGAGAGAGAGCGAGTAAATACCTGTAGTTGATCGATTGACATTTTGCGTAAGCTCAGAGAAATCTTTTAACTCTACGCGACACTGTTTTTTTTTTTTTTTTTTTTTTTAATATATATTGAGCTGTTTCAAAGCATTTACATGGGAATGTCCACCTGCACTATATCCAAAGCCCCCCAAGTGAGCGAGCAGAGCTACCCTTTCCTTTTTTATCTCCTTTTTTTGCATAATACAAGCGTCTTTTTTGTGCATGTAACTTTCCACGCAGTATCAAATGCAATAGAGATTTGAATGTAAAAGTAAAACACAAATCCCGAACTTTTAGGAATTTTTAAAAATGTTTGATATTTTTATACAAAAAAATAAGGGCTTTCATTTCTAGTCGTTGATCATCCTTTTTGTTCGACTGTCTGAATGTTATAGTCAATTTCTTGGGTGTTGTATATTTATTAAAAAAACTTTTGTTTTTACTCTTACCTTTGAATAAAAATCTCCATCCAGTATTTTTAGAAAGGATTCGATGCATTGTCGCGAAAAAACATCATTCTTGTTAACAGGATCAATTCATCAGTGTCTGTAAAAAAAAACAAACCAACAAAAGTTGAAAGTGAATAATTGTCACTTAGTAAAGAAATTCGAAGCTATACAAACGTCATTTCGACTCCAAAAAACACCTCAATAGAATTAAAATTTGTCGTCGAATTAAATGTCTATACTTTTTTTAATTGATCTGAAAAGTCAAGGAATTAAAAATACAATACCAACCCAAATTCGTAGCTAAAAATATATTTTCTCTCTTACTTGCTGCAGCTAGTAGCGTTCACACGAAAATTCCGCAAAATTTATTCGATTATTTTGTCGGGCTTGGCGCGCGCGCGGATAAAAAAATGATATAAGGAAGATATATTACGGTAAGCGAATAAATGGCACGCCGGGCTTCCTTTGTGCATATGCACTGCTGTCTAAGCTCAGCAACAGGGAAGGGGATGGTCGAAGAAAAACTTCTTTCTCTAGCTCTCCGTGTGTATACATATATGCTAATTCTTCAAGATGTCAAGTGGGCATTATTCACGCGTCGACGACTTTTTGATCTAGGAGTCTCACCTCTATCCTCTGCCTCTGTGTACATGCATACACACACGAGTTTTTATGTGTACAAATAAGCTACCGTGAATGTGTGTGTATACACACGTAAAAAGTCAGAGAGAGAGAGAGAAGAAATAGCAAACGAACATCTCACATACTTTATATACACAGCAGCAACAGCAGTAACAGCAGCGGCGCAGTGCAACAGTAGGTAGTAGATGTTAACTCGAGCCTGACAATTTGCATTTCGCGCGTATTTAAGCTCGCGCTCACGACGAATATGCCGTTCTCTCGCATTCAACATTGCATTCCGTATACGCCGAGTATAGCTCATTCTTATATACAAGCTCGCGGACAATTTACAATGGCTTTTCTGCATGAAATATGTCTCCTTCTCCGGCTCTCTCTCTCTC